AACAATTGCGGAAGAAGGGAAAACAACAGATAAAACAATTTAAAAACTGCGGAATAAACATAATGAAGGTTTAAAGATGCCGCTTGGCATATACAATACAACTCCCAAACTAAAACTACATTCCCAAAACCCGGAATCTCATGAAATCACAAGCTATTGAATAACTACAAGTGTCTAACTCCGTAATGTCTAAATAAAAGTAAATACAGAAGGGCTGATATTATAAGGGAGAATGGAAAGGGACTCCACGGTCTGTGGACGTGGCAGATATACTTCGAAGTCTCTGGAGAATCGCCTCGCCTCAAGGGCAGTAGGGCTGAGTCGAAGTACCTGGATATGCACCTGAAAAACATGCGCAGAAAGAGCATGAGTACACCACAGCGATACTCAGTAAGTGTCAAGCCTAACCTCGGTTGGGTAGTGACGAGGAAAGTCAGGGCCCTACTGAGTTTAGATGAAAACAAGGTATAACAGTATAGAATAAGACAGTATAATTAAGTGCAAACTGTAAGAAGTAACACAGGATAATAAGAACAATAACAACTACAACAGAGACAAAATAATCACAGGAGGAATACAACTCAATACAGAGGTAACAACCGGGGATCTCCCAGGATACCGTCTTGTAGTCCTAAATATAAATATCCAGTGGATCTCCCGGGTGTCGTCCCGTAGTCCAACTCATAGTGCGCGGGGATCTCCCGAAATACCGATCCGTAGTTCCAAATGTAGATATCAGTACTGGGGGACTCTACCGGGTCTAGTCCCGTAGTTCCTATATAAAGTGCAGGGGGATCTCTCGGAATACCAATCCGTAGTCCCAAAGTAAACATGCAGGGGGATCTCCCGGGATACCGTCCTGTAGTCCCAAAGTAAACACACAACAACAACACAAAGAATACTCAATTCAATCCAAATTCCCATACCAAAGTAAACAGATAATTCTAACCTAGCATGTTGCACAGAATTCAAATAAATCAGTTTGAGAAAGTAAGGCAATTAAGTCAATTAGACATGCTTCCCTAAGCTAACAGTAGGCTTAAATTGCAAGTAGTATAAACAGGAAAGGAAACACAATTATAGTTACTTAATGAAAACAGGATTTTCAATAATTAGCAGAAGTAGGCACTCGTCACCTCACGTACAAGGTATTTCAAATATCAACAATACCAAATCCTAAGGCAAGTTACCCCACACAAGGTTAGGCAAGTCACTTACCTCGAACCGGCTCAAAATCAACCCAAAACCACGCTCTTGCCACGAGTACTCGACTCCAAATGGCCCAAATCTATTCAAATCAATTGCATAATGTAAATATAACTTCAAGTAATTGATTCCACTAATTAATTCTAAGCTAATACGCAAAACTAGGAAAAATGACCAAAATGCCTCCCGGAGCCACGTTTCGGAATCAGGTAAAATTTACATTTTCAGAATCCTCATACTCTTACGAGTTCAGTCATACCAAAAGTACCAAAATCGGATCTCAAATGGTCCCTCAAATCACTACTCAAAGCTCTCCAATTAACTAAGCCCTAATCCTCAATTTACCACTTATTTTCCTTCAAATTCCATGCTTACAATGATAAAAATCACCACAATAACGAGCTTAAGGACCAAAGACCTTACCTCAATGAATCCCTCTGAAAATCTCCCTTGAAAATGCTCCCCCAAAGTTTCTTCCCGTTGAAAATTTATAAAAAATAACCCAAATTCGCGAAGAAAATCTTTTTATACTTTCTGACCCAGATTTTTTTGCACCTGCATTCCATTTCCGCTTCTGCGGTCAAGGGAACCGCTTCTGCGGTTTTCACTTAAGTCCCCTTCTCCGCACCTGTGACCCAAAATCCGCATCTGGGGTCTCGCAAGTTCGACACACCTCCCACTTCTGCGGTTTCAGTTGTCTTCACCTTTGGCCGCATCTGCGGCAGTGATCTCGCTTCTACGGGCTCGCACCTGCGGTCCCCAAGCCGCAGGTGCGGTTATGACAGCAAACTCAGCAGCTTTAGCTGCAAATTCCCAACTCCAAACTTCCCGTTAACCATCTGAAATCATCCTGAGGCCCCCGGAACCTCAACCAAAAGCACGAACAAGTCATATACCACCATCCAAACTTATACCAATCCTTAAAACACTTAAAACAACATTGAAACATCGAATTAACCACAAATTCAAGCTTAAGAACTCCAAAAAACTCTCGAATTACGCTTTCGATTAAAAAGTCTATCAAACCTCGTCCGAATGACTTGAAATTTTGCACACATTCAACACTATGGAGTTACTCCAACTTCCGAAATTTCATTTCGACCCTTAGATCAAAATCTCACTATCGAACCGAAAACTTCAAAAATTTCACTTTCGGCATTTCAAGCCTAAATAAGGTACGGACCTCCAAAACACAATCTGAACACGCCCCTAAGCTCGAAATCACTCAACAGAGCTAATGAAACTGACGGAATTTCATTGCGAGACCGTCTTCACACTGCTCCGACTATGGTCCAAATTCTAAAACATAAACTCTCATTTAGGGACTAAGTGTCCCAAAACTCTCCGAAACTCCAAATAAATCTTCCCGGCAACTCACAATAGCAGAAACAAACATGGGGAATGTAGTTAACAGGGGATCGAGGCGTTAATTCTATAAATGACCTGTCGGGTCGTTACATCTTCTTATTTTTTTTAGCGAGTAAAAAGTGTTAGAGCTAAAAGTCACAGAGCAGGCAGGTTCTTCTTAGCTGAGCCATCGGCATGTGTTGTTTCTTGTAAAATAGAAATTATTTTCTACTTCATTTCTACTTGTGATTTTTATAAAGTAAGTAATTATTTTATTCGTATGATTGGAACATGTATTATATGTACGGCAAAATTTAAATTATTTGGTTTACTTTATAACTTTTGATTCTTTTGAAGTATTGTGATAATTATCTTTCTTTTTGAAAGTTATGTTTTGATTTCTTCTTTGAATTGCTTATTATTTGTAAAATAATATATATATATATTCTCCTTCTTTGAAACCTTCTTCTCTGATAGTGAGAGTAGATTGACTGGTGATATCTATATATTTCCGATATTAGGTATAGTTGTTTTCTATATTTATCTAAACAGATTCTGTTATTTTGTTCTAGGTAGATAAAGTGTACTGCTAGATCTATTATAGAATAGAATCCACTATTNNNTTTTTTTTTTACTCTGTTCATCTCTTCTTCCCAATCGTTTAAAGATTTTACTCTTTTCTTAACTTCTATTTCTTTAACCTCACCCCGGCCATGGTTAAACACTTATACCCTTCTTTATCAATTGGGTTTTTAAACCAGTTTTTCCTAGAAATTTACAGGTTAATCCATCATTTTTGTTAAGAAATTGGGTAGCTAACCATATACTAAGAGTGTTATATGATAATTTTAATGTACAGACATAGTATTACATAACTAATAATCTTTATCTAAATTATGTTTCTGATAAACATTACCCCAGTTTGTATTTTACTAAATTTATGATTGTTAATTAGTTTGTATTTTACTGTTCTTATGATTATTAGTTATGTAATACTGTGTCTGTACATTAAAATTATCATATAACACTCTTAGTATATGGTTAGCTTCCCAATTTCTTAACAAAAATGATGGATTAACCTGTAAATTCCTAGGAAAAACTGGTTTAAAAACCCAATTGATAAAGAAGGGTATAAGTGTTTAACCATGGCCGGGGTGAAGTTAAAGAAATAGAAGTTAAGAAAAGAGTAAAATCTTTAAACGATTGGGAAGAAGAGATGAACAGAGTAAAAAAAAAAATCTTGATGGTTTTAAAGATATATATATATATATTGCTGAGAGGATACAAATAGTTGAGCAAGTATTCTGAAGTGAAGTACTCTGTTCTCCTTGGAATGAAGAATATGAGAGGGAAACTAATGAATAGAAAAGAAAAGACAAAGATGAAGGCTAAAAATGGGATAACAAGAAGGAATAGAAAAAGAATACGCTGCAATCTCCACATATTTCTTTTGTTTGTTTTATTTTCTTTTCGTTATTAGTTTCTTTACTTTTATTTCATATTTCTGTTATTTGAATATGAGAAATTTTAGCAAAGCCGATGTTTTACTATCTAATGAAAAAATAATCTATTTACATGCCTCTAACATATAATTGTACTTAGAAAGTCATGTATCAACCTCTCACTTTTTCCTCATTTATCATAATATATGTAAGTGAAACTTTTTTCTTAAAAATTCTTTCTCTTTTATTTTCTTTTAAAAAGAAAATCAGGAAAAAATGCAGTAACCTAAAATCCAATTCTAATTAAAATGCTAAGTATATGATTTATCAATATGTAAAATTATCTTTTATATACATATTAATTTAAAAAACTATCTCTCTCATCCGTTATATGTCGTTATTTTTTTTTAATTTAGTGATATTTCTTATAACCGCGCGAAGCATGGAAAATTTCACTAGTTATAATTATAATTTGAACATAACTTGTACCAGAATCAAACAAAAACCCAAAATATATTTTTGACTTTTGCTAAAACACCAATCTCCTTGTATTCTGATCCGCATAAGTATAGGGATGGCAAACTAGAGAGTCGGATCGGATATGAGCGGGTCGAAAATGTATAATTTAAAAACGGATAAATTATCCGACTCAATCCATATTTAATACGAATAAAAAAATGAATTATGTAAAACTTAATCCGTGACTTCTAGAATATGATCACTTTTGAAAGAATTACTAGTCTTCCAAACTTGAGAAAACCCCAATTTGAGACTTTACAAATGTAAAAGTTAAACTCATTTATTACTCATTGATTATCCATTTGGTTATTCATTTTCTAAGTGAATAATATAGTTCTTATTCATATTCGACCCGTTTTTAAAAAGTTCATTATACAACCCATTTTTAATTGATAATATGGGTGGATAACTATTTTCTTTTAACCATTTTGCTAGCTCTATGCATCGCGATCAATTCAGGTGGACAGCATTTCTGCTGAATCATCATATATGTAAGATATATAACTTGTATTCATGATCCAGGCATATTGGGAGTTTGATATTGATACAAAATTTTCTCAATTCACAACAATCCTTGACAAATAAGATATATCTCCTTTGAACATGACCTAGTTGCTTTTGGCCTCAACCATGCTGCCTTTTTGAAGAGTGGTTTGCATAACTGCCCAAATTCTTTCACATCTTCACTTTCTAAAAGCTTAATGACAAGATGGCCCCCGGGTTGCAGTAAACCATCATTCTTTGGGGTTGAATTTGAGCACTCTGATCGTCCCTCCCCTTGTACGATATCATCTGAATGCAATAGGGAAACCCCGCCAACAGCCAAATCAAGAGCTCGCATACCCAGTTCAGCGGATAAAGCTGCATCTCTTATGCTGATTCCAGAAACTAATGGGCACATATCAGACAGTATGACACCAAATCCTTTTTGCTGAGGAGAAAGAGCCTTGAGTTTGTTCTTGGGAAGGTTGAGAGCATCAGCACAAACAGTTTGTACTCTTGAATCACAGTGCATAGGAGGAACCTTTACCTTCTTGAGATCAATTCCGACAACAGCACCTCCATTTTTCAGTGGGCCCAAGCTCTGACATGCCACCTGAAGCCATGCGCCAGGAGCACATCCAAGATCAAGCACAGAAGAACCAGGGGTTATCAATTTGTACTGTTTCTGCATCTGAAGCAACTTGAATGCAGAGCGAGCAGCATAACCAAGGCGCTGAGCTTCCCTGTAGAAAAAATCAGGTGTACCTGCTTTGCTCATTCTTCTTATTCTTATGTAATGCAATGCTTGTCTTGTCTCTAATTTCAGAAGCCTTGTGGAATTAATTTTGGTTCCCCGTGTCCTGGTGTTCAAACTTCAAAAAATAAAGTGGGTCATGAAAATTAGCACTAAGTACTCACTCCGGTCCAAAATAAGTGATTTTTTGGCCTTTTTCTTGTGGTCCAAAATAATTGATTTTTCCAGATTTCAAGAATGAATTAATTATTTTTTTACTACATTGTCCTTAGAGTAAATAGTGTTGGAATATGTGTTAGGAGTGTTTATGTGAGATAGTAAAAGTTAATATGGTCAATTCCATTGCTAATTAATGCTAAAAGGCGGAGAAAACATCTAAAAAATCAAGGGAGTATTAACTAAATCTAAATTGCTGGAAGCTTGTTAGGCATTTATCTATAAAAGAAAATGGGTCATGCTAAATGTAAGTTACTAGCAAGATTGGGCTAACTATAGCTCTTTTCAGCTTACTCGAGTCCAAAAATTGAAAAACCTCAAATTCAATTTTGTCATTTCTATTTCAAAACCCATCTGTCCAAATCTTCCAACTCAACAGATTATGTACCAAATTTAAACCAATATTTTTAAAGGACATAGATTTCACAAGAACTAAACAAACAGAATGATGGCACATTTCATGGACATAGATTTCACAAGACAACAATATATATCCAAAAACACGGTAATATAATAAAATAAAAAATGGAAGAAATGGACCTTCTTTGAAGGTTTATGAATATATCAATATGAACCTCCAGATGCTTTACAATACCTCTTTGGTACAGAGAAATCAAAGCAGCGAGAAAGATCCCGACGGACCTCGGACCTCGACCGAAACTCGTCGGTGTCTCAAAAGTCGATCTCGCACAACAAAAGGGTGAAGACACAGGTGGTATTTTCTGGGTATTTACATGGTAATTTGGAGCTGCTCTAATGGTTGTCTTCTGCTGCGTTTTGGCCGCCTTTTGATTGAGATTTGGACCGATTTTCAGAATGGCTGAAGTTTAGTGCGTTTTTTGGCTGGAGTTTGGACTTTTTTGAAGTTTCTTTGAGGTGGTTTCAAGGCTGGTTTAGGGACAGTTTTCAGCTCGTTTTTGGTGCATGTTTTGAGGTCTTTTTGGCTGATTTTCGCTGGGGTTTTGGGGTAGTTTTTGCTGGAAGAAAGGAGCTGATTTTTGGTGGTTTTGGGGGCTATTTTCAGCTGGGTTTGGGGTGGATTTTGGTGGTGAAGATGGCTGATTTTGGGGTTCTTATATGGCTGCCTTTTAATGTACGAATTTGTGGAGATTTAGAGCTAGTTTGAGGTGTAAATGTGAGAGGAAGAAGAAGAGCTAGTTGTTGCCAAGGACGAGGAGGCCGTCCTATTGTTCTTTTTCCTTCTCCCGCTGCTGCTAACTCTCTAGGTTTCGGATATGAGTATATATTAGGTGGGTAAATTAGGGAATATCCTTTTTATTTTATTTTTTCCAATGTATAAAGAATAGATAAAGATAAAAATACTCCTCCTTACTAAATCAAAATTAGGGGTGTCAATGGATATTCGAAAACCGATCGAACCGTACCGCACCGAACCGATTTTTAGGTTTCTTTTTAAGAAACCGTAGGTTTTTATATAAATTTATAACCGCACCGATAATTAGGGTAGGTTTTTTATTTTATAAAAATATATTGAAAAAATACCGAACCGTACCGAATAAATTTTACATGTAGAAAATATATTTATTTAGGAAGTTTAAAAGTAATAATGCATTAAATTTTCTTTGGGCCTTGTAATTATGAAAACTATTACCAGCCAACAAGTAATTAAACTCAAAATACTAATTCCTAAAATCTATTATGTTACTTCTACTTAAACTAAGTTATTTCAAGTATCTTTATTAGCAAGACACAAAGTATTCTAGCGATTATGAGTAGCAAACTGCAATGTATTGAATATGTTTTCTTTCATATAATTTGGATTTATTTTTTGAACATTTAATCTTTTATAAACTTTATTCTTGAGTCCCAGCTTAGTATATCTTTCAACTCGTGTGATTTATATTTTCTTTGCCTTTGTTTGATTTCTTTTACGCTGTTGTAGAATAGTTGATGGATCTATACTCTAGCCATTTTTTTTAATTCACCACCCTTTAAACAGTAAAAATGTCTAGAGAATTTTGCTAAGTCCTATAAAAGAACGTATGTTATTGCATTCTACTTCTACTGGTGAATTTTACATGATATAAAAAAATACCGAAAATTAACCGAACCGTACCGATACCGAAGAGAAACCGGCATGATTGAGACGGTTTCAAAAATTTTAATTTTGGTTATCCATAATAGAATAACCGAAAAATTGATATGGTACAAATTTTATAACATAACCGGCAGAACCGAACCATTGACACCCCCTAATCAAAATGGCGAAACAAAAACTTTTTAGACCTTGAAAAATATAAAAAGATTACTAAATATAGAACTACAAAAATACTAGCTTATCAAAATTAGAAGAAAGCATATTTTTGTGGATTTTTTTTAATAACAACAACATACTAGCACCCAAGGGTGTGACCTAGTGGTTAATGAAGTGGGTGAAAATAATGAGGTCTCACGTTCAAATCCCAGCGGAGGCACACTAGGTGATTTCTTCCCATCTATCCAAGTCTTGGTGAATAGAATTACCTGGTATCTGTTGCTGGTGGGAGGTGGCAGGTATCCTATGGAATTAGTCGAGGTGCGCGCAAGCTGGCCCGGACACCACGGATATATAATAAATTAAAATAACAATAACATACTTAATATTATCCCACACCGTAAAATTTGGGGAGAGTAGTGTGTACGCAGACCTTACCGCAACCTTGTGATGAAACAAAATGAATATGTAAATATGCGACTATTTTTTTCAATTTTTTTTATATAAATAAATCCTACTAAAAGGTCAAAAGGCAAACATTAAAACTAAAAATATACTAAATTACTAAAAAGTGGAAAAACTCGAGTATAGTGAATAATTAGGTGCTCACATCTTATTTTGCAAAACATAACATTAGCACAGTTTGTCACACCTCCTTTTTCCGCCCTCGCAAGGGGTGAAGGAGTTTTTTTAATTAAAGGACAATCAAAACGGAATTTGTTTATTTATTTCAGAATTGCCACTTTGGAGATTTAGGGTGTCCCAAGTCACCGGTTTAATCCCGAATCGAGGAAAAGAATGATTATGTTTAACAGTCCGCGAACCAGAAATCCAGATAAGGAATTCTGGTAACCCGGAAGAAGGTGTTAGGCATTCCCGAATTCCGTGGTTCTAGCACGGTCGCTCAACTGTCATATTCGGCTTGATTATCTGATTTAATACATGTTGAACCTATATGCGAATTTTAACTTTTAACCGCTTTTGTCATTATTATTATTTTTATCAAGAATTGCAACATCGTGGAAATACATCTCGAACCACGTCACATCAATGCACCCGTGGTTGTTGGCGCATTTCAACTCTGTTGAGATTTGGATTTGGGTCACATAAATGTGCACCCGAGTTTAAGAAGGTAAGATTATTAAAATGCGCGCCTAAAGCGATTAGCGTATTATTATTTTGGGTAAGTCCATGGAGTTCGCTAAGCGGCCTATCCCGAGTTCTAAGTAATTAACACATACATTTTTGTGAGGGCCCCGCAATCTGTGCGTTTTATTTGGCGAGGCTCGTCTCATTTTTATTTAAAAGGATAAACCTACAGTGACTACATTTTTTCTATTAAGTTCGTCTCTAAAATAAAAGAAAATCTCCCTATTAATTACATGCTAAAAAAAGACGTAACTTATTAGTTATAAATTTACGGCTAATGCGAATGGAAAATTGTAATCGAGCTTGTACAAAGAAAGATTGTTTTCGTTCTATATTCTATTATTTAATAACACTAGAACATGAGATTGACACACAATAATATCAAAACAAATTAACTATTCTTTGATTAATTTAAACTATCATTATTAGATGAAGAAGTTATACATATGCAACCTCATTACTCATTAATCAGTCAACTACATTTTTATACAAAGAAAGAAAAACTGTATTCAAGCACAAATCTAAACAGGAGGAATTCAATAGGAACAAAGCCTGGTCAATACTTCATTTCGCCTCAAGACAAGAGTGTACAAATGTGTACCTAGAAATGGTAATACAATGAGAAAAGAAAAGAGAGTCAGCAGCAATAGTAACACAGCAACACAACAGCAACCCCACAGCAGCAATTCGAACCAGATTCAAGACCCAGAAAAATTTGAAGAAAATCAAGCAAGCTCGATAGAACAAACCCAAAAGTTTGTAAAAGACTTAAACAGCAACAAACCACATCACCACAAACATACTCAACCCCACGTGTATTAAACCCGAAATTAAACTCGTCTCTCCCTTTGTTTTTGTTTTCTCTTTTTAAAACTCTCCAACACTCTTGAGATTTTCAGAATGTCTTCCTCTTCCAAGAATTCTCTCTAAAAAAAAAACCTCTCCTAAAAAATGTCCTCTCAGAATCCTCCCCTCTTTATGTAAAAATGACATCTTATTTATAGCAAGATTCTTGTCTTGAACCACTAACCCGAAATATTCTTTTAATTGCATGCCTTGCCCCACTACTTAATGTTTTTCTTATTTAATTCCTTTGTCCCACATGCCTACATGTTTTGTCCCCCATTACATTAAACAAATATATCAACCTCACTCCATTATATCTTGTCCCCCATGCTTAACTTAAATAATAACATTATTCCCCCACTACATTATGTCTTGTCCCCCACTATATTAAACAATTATATCACCTCCCCACTAACTTATGTCTTGTACCCCACCATGTACTATTTTAATATTGTTAATGCCTAGTGGACAGAGCACTTAGATTAAATAATTGTTCAAATTTTCAATTTCAAAAATACCCCTCCGACCTTACTGAAATTACCATTTTACCCCTGAACGTACTGCAATTTACCAATCTACCCCCATCAGCTATAACCAATTCACCTAATCAATTTCAACCAAAATACAGCAAATATAACCAATTTCTAAACAAATTCAAACAACAGATCCCATGAACACAGATTGAACAACATCAAATTAATAGGAATAAGTTAATCATATTGGGAACCAATCTTGGTTAACTTAGACAAAGATGAATGAGCAAGGCGACAACAATATTAACAACAAAGATACATGATTCAAACTAAATCAAAAAATTAAAAACCAAAACATAAACTCACATTAAATCACTGGATTAAAAACGAACTTTAAACAAAATGAACATGAATTAAATCTATATTAAACAACAAACATGACGGATTCAAACGATTTAAACTAATACTCTTCTATATTAAAACTAAATCCTTTTAAATTAATAAAACAAACTAAAGAAATAATTAATTGAACTTCAACTTAAATCTAAAAACATTATAATTACTAACAATTTCTACCTAAAAATAAACAAGAAAAATGAAACAAACTAAAGAGAAAAAAAAATAAGAAATACGATAAACACGAATTGGTTAAACCAACTAACCGGATCGGAACAATGATGAACTTGAACGAAAACAAATCTGCCCGGAAACAATTATCGCACCAAAATAACTCGACACCGAAGACGTCCACGAACGGACGATCAAAGAAGATGGTCGTTTGGTATCGTTTGAAAATGAGGCAGTGGCAGCAGTGGTCGATGATGGGTTGTTCGACTGAAGGAGACGACGAAGAAGTAGCATCCATAGGTTAACTGGTGCTCGGCGGAGAAGAGAAGGAGGGGGGGTGGCTAGTTTGTTTGGTCGTGTATGGATGTGAGGGTGGCGACTGGGTGGTCGCCTGGTATGGTGTTGCTGGTTCGCTGCTGGGCGTGAGGAGGCGGGCTGGGAGACTGGTTGAGCTGAAGAACGGCGAGACAACAGCTACGTTTCCGGGGGTGGTCGTTTGACGATGGACGCTGGTGGTTGACTGAAGAAGATGGTCGTTTGGTGTGGCTAGTTGGCTATGGAGATGCTGGTTGTTGTTTGGACGTGACGACGACGAACGACGGGGGCTGTTTTGGTGAGCGAGATGGTGGTCATTTGGGCTGGTTCACATTGTTACTGGTGGAGATGAGGAGATGAAGCAGAGGGGTCGTTCATGGTGGTCGTTTGAAGACGAAGCAGAAGGCGAGGGGCTAGGGTGTTGTTCGTCGAGGGAGGCATCCATGGGAGCTCGAGCTCGAGCTTGACGATGAAGATGAAGCGGCAGTAGTGGTCGACGTCGTGGGTTTGAAGGCAGCCATGGATGTGTGTTTTGGAGTTTTGGAGATGGTGAAGGAGAAGAGAGAAAGAGAGGGGGCGGATGGTTTAGGTTTAGGTTTAGGAAATGAAATGAAGATTATGAGGGGTTAGGTCATTTGGGGTTATGGGGCGGACCGGGTCG